ACTTGCAGATAGAGAAACTGAAGCAAAGAATGAGGAAGGGACTTGCCCAGGGTCACCTACACCTACAACTTATAGGAGGACAGTGTTCACCCCATGACTTATCTTTTGGGAGGAACCAAGGAACTGCTCCTCCCACAACAAAACTACTCCCTTGCAGTCAATATTTCCCCTCTCCTCAGCTGAATGATTCGGATCTCACCTTGACCCAGGTTTATAGCCGGCTGAGGTCAGAAGGAGCCTTTCCATTACCTCGCTGGGCTCTGGATCAGGCCCTGTTGCTGTTTTTACACCACTGTATCTCCATTGGCCTCAGTGGAATTGATTCTGATGTAGGGCCTGATTTTGCTGCTGTTAAAGTCAATCTGAGTTTTTGGGGACCTCGATGGGAGCAGGCTCTGTGAGAGTGAGATCAGGAGCAGGACATATATATTTGTTAACGGCCTCTCATATTAACCGCCTGAGACTTGTAAGTGGGATTGTCAAAAGAGTCTAAAGGCATTAGTGCCCAGACCCCATTACAAGTCTTTGGGAGATCAATGCCTAACTAACTCCCACACAGGCTCCAGCTTCATTTATTTATCAGCCTTTCTGTGACCATCAGTAGTCTAGGATCTCAGCAGCTCACAAACATGAATTGATTTTATCTTCTCAGCCTCCCTGGCCAAGCCCAGACTAAAGAATGTTGGGGCTTGTGCATTATGGAAATTGGGAAGCCTCCTCACCTTTCCTAAACTAGATAGCAATCCGCACCATTCCCCACAGAAAGCTCAGAGAGCTCCTCCCACCTCACATACACCCCAACAACCCTCCATCAGCTCCCACTTATCCCAGCAGCCCTGACGTATATCCCACTCACTTCAAACTTACCCCCCCAACACTGCCCATTCACCCCAGAGCCCCTCAACAACTCATCCCACCCCTTCAGCCTAACCCCAGGATCTTCCCAGCCACTCATTGGTGCCCCCTGGCTCAGCACTCTGCTCCTGTTCCAGGCTAGGGCGTCTCTTCCTGATCCCCCACTGTCCAGCACCTTCACTCTCTCCCTGCCTTGCACTCGCAGTCCTGCGCTGCCCAATCACTCCTCCTTTAAGACAGGGAGGCGGCCGGGCCAAACTGGAGCGAGTGGTGGTGTGACCTGGCACATGGGGTTGCAGTGCCACAGTGTTTTTTTGTTTGTTTGTTTTTCCTGGTAGTCAGGGGCCCTGTGCACATGCAGCAACTGCACCCTGGTTAATCCAGGCCTGCCTGCCCTCAGGGAGTTGGCATTACCCCCATTTTACAGATGAGGAAATGAGGCACAAAGAGATTAAATGACTTGCCCAAGGCAACAGGAAGTCCCTGGGAGATCTAGAAATAGAACCCAGATGTCCTGTGCCTTAGCCACTAGGCCATCCTCCATTTCCTTTGTATGGTCCTCTCTCTTCTAGGAATTCCAGTTAGTGTCAGCCTGACCACAAACAGCTCCTTACAGGATCCAATGGATAGCTGAGTAGCAGATACCATCTTGATTGGGAGGAGCCACCTCTCTTAAAATGAACCTTATAGTTGTTGGGTTTTTGTTTTGTTTTTAAAACATACATTAACAAACCAGCTTCCAGAGCAAAGTGGCTTGTCCATTAATGAGTAAGTTTCCTTCTAAGCATATATTTTTTTCTCTTTAAAAGGATCAGGGACTCTATAGTTGGTTTTTGAATACATCTGGATTTTTCTCTTAGATCTTAATGTATCTAAAACCAGCTGGAATTACAATTAAATCTGTTGTAGGGTATTACTCTGTGTCCCACCACTGTAGCATCTGAGCACCTTCCATATAAAATCAATTCACTAGCAATGTTCCTAGCACTTCTCCCTTTTTGGGGTCAAAACTCTGCTTGGATAAGGGTCTTTCTTTATTCTTCAAATACAGAACACATTACGATTTGGAAGCAAAAGAACATGTGAGTGGATAGATCTCATGCATACTTCCTATTATCAGGAGGTAACAGACACAGTCAGTTTCAACCATGTCACATTGAATGTTGTATTTAAAAGAATATATTCTTAACCAGTGCCTTTATAGATCACTAGCAATACAGCCCAGAATTCTGCCAGTAAACTGTAAGCTTTTTTGCATGACGGACTGTTTTTTTTAATTGCATAAATGTACAGTACCTAGCACATTAGGGCCCTGGGTGCTGATTAGTACTTTTAGGTCCTATTATTATTTAATATTTGTATTGCGGTAGCACTGAAGAGCACCGGTCAAAGACCAGGACTGCCTTCTGTAGTGCATGAAGTGATATGACAGATGCTAGTCACATGAAGTTCTTTCCTTCTTTGCACTCCCTTTTCATACTTTAAACCCAGATGCTTCAACTGGTTACATGTGAATGGACCCCCTGGCCCCATCACTGCTAATTCAAATTGCGCGATCAGAGCCCTCTTTTGTGCACATACTGAATTTTGCTACCACCAGAATAACAGTGACAACAATATAAGGTAGGGGCTGTAATTTTCAAATTTGTTTGTATATTGGCTCAAGCAATGGGGCTCTGAGCTGATTAACTTGTAGGCATTCCCACAATTATAAATGTTAAAATAATAATTAATAAAATGGTTGGACCAACGTAACCAAAAAAAAAAAAAGATTGACAAGTGACTGAAACCTCTGGGATTGAGCTCTGGAAATTGTCAAATCAGACGGTAGTTGAACCCGGGGGAGGAGGGAGTGAATTCAAAATCTTAGTATCTACATAGAATTCCAAAGGGCATTGTGTTTCCCCAGCGCATTGATTGGTTTTTGGCCAGATTTCCTCCTATTTTTGTGTCTGCATTGATCCTTCAAATTTAACATATCCATTTGGACATTCATCTCTTCCCCCCTTCCCCCCAAATCTGCCTGCATCTATGTGTTGTGTTCTGTTTTATACTTAGATTGTAAGATCTTTGGGGCAGGAACGATATTTTTGCTTTGTGTTTTCACAGCACTTGGCACACCCAAGATTCTGGTCCCTAACTGGGGTTCCGAGGCTGTATAAAGCTTGTCATGCAGCCTCTTCTTGTCTGCACATTAGAGTTAGAGGAAAATGTTGATTTCTGATCCTTGTTTCTCTCTTTTTTTGGTTTTGAAACTTGTTTCTTATGTTTGTATTTTGAGTTGGTTGAAAAGCCAGTAAAAAAAGAGTTTTGATTGTTGAAACATTTGAAATTTGGGCTGTGTAACTCATTGAAAAACCAGACACATTTCAACCAAAATTGTTTGCTTATTGAAAACAGATTTCTGTAGGAAAAGCCTTGAACTCTGGAGAATGTCTTCCAGTTCTTGTTTGTTTTCATAACAGCAAGAAACCCAAAGAGTCGTATCTTCCGGTAGGTTCTCCCAAACTAAGCAGGGCTGAATGGGGTCAGTGATTGCCTGGGAGACTTGTTAGGAAAATCTTGGTGCTGAAGGAAGTGGTGTTAGCGACTCAGTAGAGGGTGCTCTTTCCTGTGAGTCAGTGCACAGCAATCCTCCGGGTGGCTCTGCGGTCTTTCGCATGAGATGTGAAAGGGAGGTCCTCCATTAGTCATGGCCCTTAAAGATCCCAGGCTACCTTTATGACTGGACAAATTTAATTTTTCTGACCTAAAATACCCCTGCAGTTTCAGCTGAAAATGTATTTTCTCTCTTTGTTCTCCACTGTGTTTGTATTATAGCAGGCTCTGTCATGTAGTGTGTGTGTGTTCCATCTATACACGGTGTATTTGTGTTATGCATTTACATTGGGCATATGTTTTGCACTATGCATAAGTGTGTGTGTGTTTTTTGTTGTACACATTACGTGTGTTTTGTGCACATTCCATGTATGAGTGTGTGTATTTTGTGCTTCTATTAGATGTACATGTTTTATGGTTGAAGACGTGTGTTACACATAAAATTTGTATTTGTATTACTTGTATACGTTAGTTGTATATCCTTGTGTTGCGTGCATGCGTGTGCGTATATTTTGTGTCAACGAGTGTACTTGTCTTGAATTACACACACGGTGTATGTATGTTTTGCAACTTTTGTGTTAATTGCATGTACCCTGTGTTTGTTGCATGTGCCTTGTGTGTATGTGCTTATGTCAGGCACACACTTTAAAAAAAAAAAAAACAACCCTCCACCACAGTAAATAATCAGGACAAAGCAGAAACAAAACCCACAGAGAAAAGCCCTCGCCCTCCCGCCCTCTTCCTTCCTCGCTGGCAGGTCTGTGAACCCAGCACTTTACTCTTCCCCAGCCCGGCTGCTCAGGGCTTGTCTGTGCGCTTGCCTTTGCAGAGAGGCTCCGCGGGGGGAGGCGGCCCCCGTTCCTGGAAGAGCCCAGCCTGGGGAGTTGGTCACATTCTTGGCTGGGATTCAATGACTGAGGCAGACACCAACAAACAGGGGAGGGGTGCGGGCGGGCGGGCGCGGGGGAGGGAGGGAGGAGTGAGCGCGAGGCTGCACGAGCTCCGCTCCGAGGCGCTCTCAGTCGCTGCTGGGGAGAGGAGCGGGGAGGATGAGCGCTCGCTGCCTGCAGCTCCCCGCAGCCCACTAGCAGAGAGAGCAAAGCAAAGCAAGAACTGAACGCAAAGGAAACCTTCCCGGCCCAGCCAGGGGACCACACGGAAAAGGGGGGGAGGGAGGAGCCCGCCTCTGTCTGCAGCCCCCCTCCGCCACATTTTTTTTTTTGGAAGTGCAAAAGATTGCGGCCGGGGGCAGCTTTTAAGAAAAAAAAATATTGCAACATTTTATTTTTGTGTTGCACGGACCAAGCTTTATTTTTTGTTATAATTTTCTTCCCCTCCTGCCGCTTGGCTTCGGTGGATATGGACAGCCGGGAGGCCGCCGCCGCAGAGCCGCAGCCCGCGCGCGTTTGAGCCCCCGGGGCTGGAGCGCGGCACAGACTTTCCTGGGGTTTTGTTTGGGGGAGGAAGGGGGGGTTGCTTTGTGCTGGGGGGTGGGGGCGGCCGGGAGAGCGCGTGCTGGAGGCGTGGGGGGTGGGGGTGGGCCCGGTGTGCTAGGGGGGAGGGTGGCCGGGGTGGGCGGCTCGACTCTCTGCTCCGCCGGGGCTTGTGCAAGTGCCCCCGAGCCGGGCACACGCGCCCCGCGGGCACACTCAGCGACAGCGGGGTTTGCGGCCGGCTGACCCCGGAGGCGAAGCAGGGCGGGCGGGGCGGTTTTCATGTGTTGGCCCCTGGTTTAGTGGAGTCACACCCGGGGCTTTTCTGTTTGTAGTTCTGGTTTTTGGTCGGGGCGGCGAGGGGCTGAGGGACTGAAAGATGGAGACTGTCAGTCGAAGCAGCTTCCAGCCGCATCCCGGGCTGCAGAAGACCTTGGAACAGTTTCATCTGAGCTCCATGAGCTCCCTGGGTGGCCCGGCCGCCTTCTCCGCCCGCTGGGCGCAGGAGATGTACAAGAAGGACAATGGCAAAGACCCGGCGGAGCCCGTCCTCCACCTGCCCCCCATCCAGCCCCCGCCGGTGATGCCGGGCCCCTTCTTCATGCCCTCGGACAGGTCCACGGAGCGCTGCGAGACCATCCTGGAAGGGGAGACCATCTCCTGCTTCGTGGTGGGTGGCGAGAAGCGGCTCTGCCTGCCCCAGATCCTGAACTCCGTGCTCAGGGACTTCTCCCTGCAGCAGATCAACTCGGTGTGCGACGAGCTGCACATCTACTGCTCCAGGTGCACGGCCGACCAGCTGGAGATCCTGAAAGTCATGGGCATCCTGCCCTTCTCGGCCCCTTCCTGCGGGCTCATCACCAAGACTGACGCCGAGAGGCTCTGCAATGCCTTGCTCTACGGGGGCACCTACCCGCCCCACTGCAAGAAGGAGTTCTCCAGCACCATCGAGCTGGAGCTCACCGAGAAGAGCTTCAAGGTGTACCACGAGTGCTTTGGGAAGTGCAAGGGACTCCTCGTGCCAGAGCTGTACAGCAACCCCAGCGCTGCCTGCATCCAGTGCTTGGACTGCAGGCTCATGTACCCGCCTCACAAATTTGTGGTCCACTCGCATAAATCCCTGGAGAACAGGACTTGCCACTGGGGCTTTGACTCGGCTAACTGGAGGTCCTATATCCTCCTCAGCCAGGATTACACCGGGAAAGAGGAGAAAGCAAGGCTGGGCCAGTTCTTGGATGAAATGAAAGAGAAATTTGACTACAGCAACAAATACAAGAGAAAAGCACCCAGGGTAAGTAGCACCTGATTTTTGGGGATGAGGGGTGGGGACATTCGCCTACAGTTTCAGGGATCTCCCGATAAATCAGCTTTGGTGGCCCCTTTCCCTTGAAAGGCACGCAGCGGTCTAACCATGCTGTGAAATCAAACCCAGTGGGTTGGTGTGGAAGAGAATTCTTAGAAACTACACTTTGCTTTCTTGAAGGCTTAAATTGTTCTTTTTCTTGGTGGCTTTTAGGTTTTACTTAAAATACTTCTACTTTTCTATGTCTTCTTTGAATTGTACATTAGGGGCCTGATCCTGTTGCCCTTGCTCACCCCCCTACTTTCACTGGGAGACAGGCCAGGACTTTGGGATCGGAGCCTGAATGGTGAAGCATGAAAGCTGGGGCAAGGACAAATAACAAGAACAAACTACTCTTTACAGAAATGCATACAACTCCCCTCCTGATGTATGTCTTAATAAATTGAACAGGTCTGGGAACAGAGATGAAATGATCTCCAAGCCTAGATGGGAATGAAATGTGACTGGTTAGAGGGGTCCATAGGAAAATTTCTGACAATAGGTCAGTATACTAGTAGCATGCATTAGCGACTGGTGTATGACCCGAGAAGACTGGGCACATTGTCTGAATCCTACGACCAGACTGGCTTTTGTGTATTGGATTTTGTATACATCCAGTAAATGAATCTGTCTAGAGCCAACTGCAGCAGCCTCTAAGATACGCCATGCGGTGTTGACTCTGCCCATCCAGACGGCTAAACCACATTTATTTTAGGTGGCCTTTTTTTTTTTTCAGTCTGAGCAGCCTGAATTCCCAGCGTGTGGGTGGGTGGCAGGCCGTGGTGGCCCCTGGCACCAGTCCTGATCAATGGGCAGCAATGCCACAGGGCCCTGAGAACTTCCTCGCAGACACCAGGATGTCTGGCTAACTGGCGGTGGTGTAATTGGCTGTGGGATGAGCAGCACACTGTCCGCCCCCCTTATCCCCCCCACTCCCCCCAAAAAAAAGCAAACAGGAAAAGTCGAGTTAACTCCTTCCTTTGAGTTCTACTGCACTGGCTTGTTGGGTGGATTTTGTCTCATTTTGTTGGGGATTTTTAGTTGCTGGAGTTGCAGGGTGCACAATGCTAGGGACAAACGCAAAGAGAAGCATTTAAAGCCTGTTGTGAATGGGCAGGGAGATTCTCATCACTTCCGAAATGCTTGTTTTAAACACTCTCTCTCTTTAACTTTCTTTTTTAAATATCCAGACTTATGAAGCGCTTTGCACACAAAGCTGCACCTAGCCCAGCTATCTTTGGGAGGCCCAGTTAATTCAGCTTCTTGCCTCTAGCTTTTCTTTCTTTTTTCAAATCAGTAACTAGACTCCTCCTCCCTCTAGTTCCTCAAATTCCCCTCCCCAGAGTTGGAGGGTCAGAGCCATTGTGGCAGTGTTGTGCTGTAATGAGCCACATTATCGCCATAGTTGGAGGTGGATGTGTTTTTAATGGCTTGTCTGTCCGCTGCTAATCATGCGCTAAGATGGCATGGTGGGATTGACTGTCTACGGATGTGTGGGGACAGGAGGGGGTGAGGTTGTGAGGTTGGGGAAACAGGATTTTTGGGGTGAAGCGAAAACCTTGCTGTGATTGTGGCATCCTGCCCAGACCACCTCTCCCCACTTCCCTTTCCTACTCCCAGAAAGGTGTGTTTTGAATATTACCTGGGTCACATATTGGTTGATTCCCTCCCTATTTCCATAGCTGACCCCTTTCACTTGATGAATTTCAAACCTTAAGTGGTGTCATTTTTTTGTTTCTCACAATGGTTTTTATGGAGTTTTACCCTGTTTTTAGCAATATCCAGAACGCTTGACTGGAGCTAGGTGGAGGAGTCAGGGCAAGTTTAGACACAAGGAGCAACATTTTTCAAAAGAGGTTACTGAGCTTGGGGTGCTTTGATTTATTGATTTTTTCTTTTCTTTTTAGGGGTGGAGCCCAACTTGAGATCCCACCCCAAAAGGGACTACACTTTCTCAGAAAGCGCTGAGCACTCCTGGCTTCAGATGAGGCCGTGGGAAAGGTGCACAGCACCTCTCACAAATCAGGATCAAGGAGGCTCAAGTTGGGCACCTATAAATTGTGGCATCGAAAAACATTAAATAATCAGTGGCTACTTTGGAACATTTTGCCAAAATGCATTTATGCGATGAAATTCCCAGGGTGTTGGCTTTCAAAATGCAATATTGTAAGGGGTGGGTGGTGTCCGTGTGTTCTGGGGATAGGGTGGGGAAGGGGGAATGTTTTATCTCAGTTCCTGTGCAGAACTGGGCTAAGTTTCAAGGCTTTTGAGTTGGCTTCAGGGCTCCTGTATAAATACAGTGCAGTCTTGAAGAGACCCTGTCAACAACTTACCTGGCAGACCAGACAGAGTTTTGGAATTGCCTTAGCTCACTTATGTTTCCTTTTTCTCCAGCCTTTTTCCATCAGATGTAGCCAAGGGGATATCATATGTTAAGGTCGTTTGTGTTGTAGCAGCGTTTGCAGATAATTATGGAGAGATTCAGTCTGGCTCAAGGGCTGCTAGACTGCGGCCAGAGGCAAATAACGGTGCAGTAAATTTTAGGTCACCTAGCAAGGAAATGAAAGGAAGATCCTGCCTCTGGCTCTGTGTGGTTGTGTTTATCACTGTCTACCTGCATGTTTGTGTGTCTCTCTGGCTGTGTGTGTGGTGCTTGTTTGTGGATAAAAGTGTGAAGTGTTGTGTGTGTGTGTGTGTGTGTGCTTGTCACTTTGTTTTGTCATATATCCATTTGTGTACATATGCGTGTGTCATGTGTACCTTCTTTTGTGATTTGTTTGAATTACTTTGTCTCAGTTTCATGATGGGTCTGTGGATATATGTGTTGGTCTGTGTACTGCGTGTCTGTGGGGTGTCTGCGGGTGGAGGTATCTATGCCGCTCTGTCAACATGACTGTATGAAGTGCGCCATGTGTCTGTCTGTGTGTGATTGTGCAAGGTGTGGTGTCTGTGGTTTTGCTCCTCCCAGGAGTGGCTTGGTCTAGAGCTGCAGTGCAGGTGAAAGCCTCATGCAGGGGACAGTGGGTTAAAGCCACAGATTTGAGGAAGCTCTGAACTCTGCAGCACAGCAGAGCAAGTCCCTCCGAGTCTGTCTACTTTTCTTCCTTCCCTTTTCTTTTTAGTTTTATTCCTTTTTATTTCCTTAATCTCGGGTCTGTTTTCCCTCTGCATTGACCTGTGAGCTTCTTCACTTCCACTCCACCCTTAACCTTCACCTTCCCACCACTTCCCAGAGCTTCCTCTTCTCTTGAGCGCTTTCCTGTTTCCCCTCAGCCTTTGCCCTTGTCCTAGTCCCTCCCCTTCTGCCTCTCCTTGTCACCTGGATTCTCCCCCTCTGTTCCTGCTCTCCCACTTCCCCCTGGCATTGTTTTCTGTTCTCCCTGCTCCTTTCCTGGTCTCCTGCTGCTTCCTCTGGTTTTATGTGTGAGTGTGTCCTATTCTCTTCTACTATTCTCCATTAGTTTGTTCCCTCTCCCTTCTCTCCCACTGTGTCTGGAGTGGAGCTATTCAAAGCATGGCCACCAAGTTATGGGTTGTGTGTCCTAAGATTTAAAAACTTCCAGAACTGCAAAAATGGGTCCCATAAATTGAGAGCCATGGTTTCTTTTGGTATAGTTGAATAGAATCATAGAAACATAGGACTGGAAGGGACCTTGATAGGCTGTCTTGTCCAGTGCCCTCCACAGAGGCAGCACTAAGTATTATCTAGACCATCCCTGGCAGGTGTTTGTCTTACCTGTTCTTGCAAATGTCCAAGGACAGAGATTTCGCAACTTCCCTAGGTAATTTGTCCCAATACTTTAGGAAGTTTTTCCTAATGTCCAACCTTAATCTCCCTTGCTGCAATTTAAGCCCATTGCTTCTTGTTCTATCTTTAGTGGCTAAGGAGAACAATTTATCACCCTCCTTTTTATATCAGCCTTTTATGTACTTGGAGTCTGTTATCATGTCCCCCCTCAGTCTTCTCTTCTCCAGACTAAATAAAACCCATTTTTTTCGTCTTTCCACATAGGTCACGTTTTCTAGACCTTTAATTATATTTGTTGCTCTCCTCTGATTTTTCCCCCCTCCAGTTTGTCCACATCTTTCCTGAAGTGGGATGCCCAGAACTGGACACAGTACTTCAGTTGAGACCTCCATGGTCTCCTCTGGCCAGTATAGACCAGACCTGGATCGCCATTCCCATCTCTCCGGCTCCATGGCTGATGCCCTTGCTCCATCCTGGTGTGCTGTCTGTCTGCTTTCTGCATGCCAACATGTCTCCAAAGTGTCTGAGCTACTAAAGCCTCAAAAGAGGGCTTTTAAGCTTTTTTGATTGGTGGGCAGTCTCCAGTAGAACAATGTGGGATCCTGTCCCCCTGCCCCATAACATTTTCTGCGGGTCATTGAACTGAGCACAGCCTGATCATGCTTTAATATCCCCCTCCCCTTCCATTTCAGAGCTAGACTTTTTCTTTTTTAGCAAAACGACATAGAATTAGAGACCGGGGGATAAGAGAATTCCGTGCACACTCCCACACACACCAGCGCTGCAGTGTTCCCATGGCTCAGGTCCCAGCATTTCTATGAAGTCGCTGTGAGCTAGAAGTAGCATTCTGGGTATTGACATGTAAATGAGCACAGTAGGCCTTCCACTTTATTTAGCAGTTCCTCCAAATCCAGTGCTGCTGCCACATCACGGAGCTTTCTCAGCTGGAGTAAGGTTTAGCCAGGTCAAGTGTGCAGCCAAATCAAAGGACAGAAATTATTCACGGTGAAATAATGCAGCTCTGAGTGACATTGTAAGATAGCTGTGGCCACTTAAGTACTTCACAGCTGTCATTGTACTGCACACTACGGCCACCCAGAACTTCACAGTGGCAGCAGGGATAAAATCCAGATCCTTCTGCTCCACTGGTGCAGGTCCCTGCTACCTAAAGAGGAATCTCTTTCAGTTGCTAGGAATATATGGCCTGTGACATCCACTGTAGAGAACTTGTGGTTCTGCCCAGGCAGTGGCATCCAAACTACTATCTAGTCCAGGGGTCGGCAACGTTTGGCACGCGGCTCGCCAGGGTAAGCACCCTAGCGGGCTGGGCCAGTTTATTTACCTGCTGATGCGGCAGGTTCGGCCGATCGCGGCCCCCACTGGCTGCGGTTCGCCGTCCTGGGCCAATGGGGGCGGCGGGAAGCCGCGGCCAGCTCATCCCTCGCCCGCGCCGCTTCTCGCCGCCCCCATTGTCCGGGACGGCGAACCGCGGCCAGTGGGGGCCGTGATCGGCCGAACCTGCCGCATCAGAAGGTAAATAAACTGGCCCGGCCTGCAAGGGTGCTTACCCTGGCGAGCCGCGTGCCAAACGTTGCTGACCCCTGATCTAGTCCATCACTAAATGGATTAGATAAAAGTCAATGGGGAATTCTGCCTGCCTAAAGACTGCAGGATCAGGCCCATTATTATTATATATAGCACTGAAATGACTCATTACATTATCTGACTATTAACATTTTTATTTGAAAATCTTCAATAAAAACCAAGATGGCCACCAAAGCAGAAACCAGCAATGGCTTGGAGCAACAGCTTAAGCTTGGTATCATTTTACGGCTCAGAAGCTAAGCTCCAAGAATGATACCAAGCAAAATCCTGTGTGTTTGCGGAGATGTCCATGTTTTAAGCAGGCATCAGCTATTTCCCCCCCCAGGAGTGGAATCTGATTTACAGATGTTGTGTATTGAGAAGTAAGGAGTGTGTGTGCGTGTGAATATCTTGCAAATAATGAAATGAGGATTCTGAGCCGACTTCTGCTCTCAGTTGCTGTGAATTAGTTCACCCTGATAGAAGTCACTGAAGTTAGACCTCTGGTATTTTTTTAGGCAGGGATTTTGGGTGCCTAACTCCCTTCCTTCTGCTCTTTGAAAAATCCCAACGTTAGAACGGCAAACATTTGTTCTCTCTGTGGCCTATTCTGAGTCACCATTTTTGTGGCTCATGGACTCAGGACTTGGACCTGTCCAAGGCTTCAGTACACTTTTGGGACAAAGTTAAACACAGTTTGGTCTTGACTACATTGCAGGGACCTAATATCTGAACTGCTCCTTAGGATTTGAACATGGTTGTTGCTAGCAGGGGTCTAACTTGATCGTAAGGGCATATTTTTGTTTCTTGGGGTCTGTGTTTAGATTGGTGTTACAAAAGCATGCTGTACACTATCTGGAGGTGTCTATAGTAGGTTTCAGAGCATGTCTAGACAACACAGTGGTTAAAATGCTGGCAGTTGCTTGCACTTTATCTGTGCTACATCTTTCACCATTGCTAGAACGGTGAGAAGTTTTAAGCTGACCCTAGTATTGACGAGATCATGTTTTGGCTAGCGTGGTTCTTAGGAATAAAAAATCCGTGTCCGCTCTGACTGGGGAAACCATGCTATAGGACATTTCAAGTGGCAATGTTGTTTTGACACAGTTGTAGTTAGCATGGTCCTGATTCCAGTTTGAAGAGGACCTCTGTCACAACTCCGCACAGTCAAAAATTGTGCATGTCTGCAGCACTAACAGTGTGATGTGTCTGATGGTGGGAATTTGCACTGGTGGCTTGGCACATGCTCTGGCTAGATATCACACACAAAAATCCATCTCAAAGTGCATCATTCAGACCCAGTTCTAAGCCAGGTTTAATTCTTCTTTTCAAAGACAGTAGCAAGCTTTGGGCTTAACAGTATAGTACTTTGCCCAGATGCAACTCCAGTTGAAGTCAGTGGGAATTGTATCATTTTCTCCGATGGGAGGATTTAGCCTTAGAGGCCCTATCTCTGAGCTCTTGGAAAAGAAAAATTGTTAAGGAATGAACACTGGTGACTTATATAACACTGCTTTCTAGTTAGTGTAGTTATAGAATACTAGCAGTCAATAGGACCACTCTATTTTGGTTGAGTGGCTGCACAAGGCACATAAATCAAATTGACCTCCAGATAAAGAAGCATTATCTAAAAAAGTAATAGTTTAGCATGTTAGTGTTTGAACTTGTGGACGTCATTATTAAATGAAATGTATTTGACTATTAACAAACATAACATCTGTTGTTGTTTTTTAATGCATTTTAAAAAATATTTTCTGAATTTGGGCAGTAAACATTGACATTTTGGGGCACAAAATCTTTGCATTTCATTCTGCTGTTCTAGGCTAAAAGGTAAACAGTAGTCTTCAGTCTGCAAAGAGATTGGAAAATAACGGGATTGAGTTGATACTGCGTTATTTTACCTTGGAAAATTATTATTGAAGTGCATAGAATTCAGTATGGGCAATGGTGATTGCTCAATGAAGATATACTGTGTTCTCCCTCCACTGCTTAGCTCCTTAAATTTTTTTTTGCAAAGATTTAAAAGATTATTAAAGATTTTAAAGATTATAGCTTTAAAAAAATCCCAAGTCTCTGTAACATAAGGATAGTTTGGGGCTAGTTCTGCAGTTCTCACTCAAGCAGTCAGCAGACAAAGTAACTGAAGCCTATTTGCCCACAAACCACAGAAATACTGTAGTTGTATCAAACTCCTTCCTGTACTTTGACTGGCTGTTGAGCCATCCTAGAGTGTGGTCCTAGAGTCATGGGGGCAGATTTTGATCTAATTACACCCATTTGAATCCAGAGTAGCTCCGCTGAAGTCAATAGAGTTATTCTGGATTTACACTGGTATTCAATAGCTACATCTGAGAGCAGAATCTGGAGCTGTGTTATTACTTTAGTATATCTGCTTTGGGAAATGCAGATCAAAATTGGTTTCATTTTCAGAAGTGCGCTATGGGTCTGCTCCTGAAAACACTTACTAAAGGTAAAGGGATGGATTAGTGCTTACTGCTGTAAATTGTCCCTCTGTCCTCAGACAGAAAGGACAATGTCACATGCAGGAATTGGGATTTAAGATTGCTGTTAGGTGTCTAGATTTTAGTGGTTAAATAGGGATTTTTGGAGCCTTGCAAATCTCCCCTCAAAAGCTGGAGTAAGGGCCATACTTTTTCCAGTACTAATGTAGATACCATAAACTTGCATGCAAATGGCATCAAATATAGTTTTATAATTCGTTGGAATGGGCTTGTTTTTAATTATGGGGAAGCTTGCTGGCTGATGGACACTGGCCTTTCCGCACTGAGCTAAGTGTGTTGGTTTTACTTGTTCTTGGATGAGAGAACAAAAACACAGATTGATACGAAGTTGGGCCCCATTCCTGCCACTGTTCTGTAATGGAACTCCCCTTGAAACCAATGGGAATTCCCATGAGTGAAGCTCTTGTCATTGGCTCAGTCAATGGTTGGCTGCTATCTCGTCTAATCGGGCTTTTCCAGGCCGAGGATGTAGTATTAAAGCGACAAGCTGTATAATCCCCTTTTCTGCTAAATAAGGACCTGATCCCGTAGCTCTTTTTTACACTGAGTAGTCCCAGCAATCCCATACTATGTGCATAAGTAATTGTTGCAGCATTATACCTTAGGCTCAGAGTAAACAATGACCTGTCCTTGTTGTGTACTGATTTATGTGCCGGTACCTTTTCACATGCTTTGTGGAGAATAGGATCTCTTCTTAGTTTTCTTTTCTTTTCAGTAATGTTTCTTTTGCTTCAGAGTGTGTGGTATGCTCACCCCTTTTCTTGCAAGCAAGATTGCTGGGTTGTTAAAATTTTTATTTATTCATTTTTAATAGTGTGGCCTTGTATGTCCTCCATTTTGCCCTGTGGAGGATTTAGGTGGTATGCTAGGAAGACTTGCACCTCTGTACCTTTGTTCCTTAGCCTCTGCTCAGCCTCCGTCAGTGGTATCAGTTTAAAGAATAAGGTCATTCACTTGGATTGGTTCTTGATTTCTCAAGCCCTTTTCACCAGCCAGTTTGTGTAATGTCTGTCTGAAACGTTGAGTAAGGGCATTGAAATAGCAGACAGGATATCGAGTGTTAGGAAGTCTGGGTTAAGTATAACAGAGACTTTTTTGGCTGGCGCAGAGGGAGCAGTCCCTCCAGCTCAATTACAGAGCAGTCGCTCTGGAAGCTGGAGTCTCTGGTTTTAGCCCCCATGGTGGCCACCCTCCCCACATATAATTGTGTGTGTGTGTTGTTCTCTGCTAGGGTTGTGTCTGCATTTCCTTATGCAGATTACTGTTCTCTGGGTGGCACTGAAATTGTTACACAAGCTGTAATAATGTCTCTCTTTCTAAGGATTGCATAAGTTTAGGATGATTTCTCCACTGGGAGAATTATGCAAGTTTAAACTGAAATGTATTTAGAAAGCTTTGTGTGTTTGTTTTCTGACTTGTAATGCAGAGGATGATTTATTTGCATCTTTAATTGGACAACATCTGCTGGCGTTGGGAGGGAAAACTGTTCCATGTCTTTTCACTGCTATAACCCTCATTCTCCCATGAACGCTTTCCCCACCCCCAATTGAATTCCATCGTTCGCTGCATTATGTCTACCATAGACCCTGAGTATGTGTAGAACAGACCCTAATACCCAGGCAAAGTCAAGTGGGCCAATAGATTGGAGGCTTCTCTGGGCAGG